GTTTTGAATCTAGGTAGGTGTAATCAAAACAGATGGAATTATAATCTATCATAAATTTCTCATGGGTTTCATTAATGAAAGGGATTAAGATTTCATTCATAGTGGCACGTTTTTTTTCATCTTCAGCATTTTTTTAGGATATAATCAATAGTATTGGCCACCGATAAATTCTTTTCTTTTATTTTACTAATGACTAATTCCATATACTCTTTTATTTTACCGAGTATTCCCAATTGAGCCTTCATTTTATTTTGTTTATTAAGTAGTTCTTCTAAAACCGATGGATATAATCCTTTTTTATTATCTTTATTCCCATGCCTTATAGACCAAGCATATAAAGTTTGGCCATTAAAAGGGAATTCGATTTTATGGAGAATTTCCCCGGCTTCTTTTAAATAATTTGCTTCATTAGAAGATAAGGTCATTTTTTCTGGTGAGAGATTATAGTTCATAATAATACTTGGGTATAAAGATGCGAAATCTAAACCCGTAACAGGATATTTATCTTCTAGACCCTTATCTGGAGGAAATACATAAGCTCCAGGGAATTTGTCTTTTTCTGTTTGTCCGGAAGTAATCATAGTGATTAATATGTCTCATTTCCATGCTTCAACACCCAATAAATTACGTACTTTCATACCCACAGCATAATAATGTGAATCGAATAAGGATACATAAGCAATTGATGCCACGTCTCTATAATCATTTATTACATTATTCTTAACCATAAGACTTTGACAACTCCGAGAGTCTACAATACAATACTCAGCAACCTTATGAATATTTTCAGTAGTTTCAGGGGTGGTGGTCTCCTTACTCTGCGTATAATATTTCCTCATAGTTTTTATTGGTAAATCTATTTTACTATCAAGACCATTAATTTTTAAGAAATGGTTAAGTGACTTTTTCTCAGATTTCGGATAAAGTTTTTTACAACATACTACCACATCAATTGAAATACACCCTGGAATTTTAAGAAAAGTGGATTTGAAATCTTTATCCGAATCTATCTTGATCTCAATTCCCTTGCGATTTTTTATTTTTTTATCCCCCTTATCTTCCTTTATATGTATATGCTCTTTATGGAAGAAATCTTTATAGAAAGGTTCACCTACCCCTCCATAATAATTCCAACGAAGAATGGAATCAATCGTAGCTTTTTTTCATGGATTTGCTGACATCTTTGCCACCATCCAATCTAGAATTTTATGCTGGGTGGCTCTTTCTACTACAAATGGCCAGTCATACTTGGATCCATTAAAGGTGAGTTCGATATCAGGAGCTAAAGCCTGCCAACATAATGCAAATGCTTTTAACAGATTCCTTTCATTCCTACAAATAATGGTAATCCAATTTGGATCCGGCGCCATTTCTACATCAACAAGGCAGATTTGTTTTAATGGGGTGGGGTCGTCTTTCCAGTGAACAGTCATACAAATCATAAATATGTTATCTTCCTTATATCGAGCCTCAGGTACATACTCTAACCCACGCGTTGTATGTGTTTCTATATCCCAAGCAAGAACTAATGCTCGGTCATGAGTAATAAGTTGAGAAGGATAAGTTTTATATAATATTGAGGGATCCTCCACACTGCGAAAATTATTAACAGATAAATAAAAAGCGTGCTCACAAAGAGGTGAATGGGCACTATAAGGCATTCTATGGTTATTATATGAGTTAGAAACTCTATGCCCCGCATATTCATAATTAGTTAATAAAGCCCATCCAGAGAGTGGAATCCTATATTCTCTAGCAACTTTTCGATAATATACACTTGTTGTATCATCTGAGGCAGTTTCGAGCTTTTTTTCATTTTTCGAATTATATTCTAAAATAATATAAAGAGCAATTTTTCTCTGTTTGATATTAGTTGTAATAATACGAAGGTATGGCTTTTTTTCTGCATAATATCCTCGAATAGGAAATGCTTTTATATGTTCTATCTGGAGCTCAGTCATATCTACAGTTTCCCCTTCATCATTTTTCCCATTGACAAGAATATTTTCTATTTCGGTCTCAAATATGCCAATACTTTTATTATCAGGAACATGAATATCGAAGAAAACTTTTATGCCAGAAACCGTAACTACAGCTTTTCGACCATTAACGAGATAACCATAGAGCCGTAAAACGTAATATGGGGTATTGTTTATATACTCATTATATTCTTCTATATCACAAGGCATAAACGGGATATCTTTCCTAGTAATTAAATCCCGATTAATAGTCGCTGTTGATCCATAATCATTATTTTTGGCAATTATCATATTACGACTTGGATCGACTGGCAAATAATCTTCTTCATTATAGTAAAATGCCTGGTTTTCCTCCTTACTTTCCGAAATCTTTGATTGAGGAAAAGCTTTAAACCCCCGGTGGTAGAACGCCCCGCTATTTTCCTCTTCTATCTCTGGCTCAAAATTTTCAGCAATTTCTGGGCTTTCCGGTCGAGAAGGTGGTGCTTCCGCCTCTGTTGGTGCGTGATTGATGTTTTCTTGGAAATTTTGGTTATTCATAGTTGGTATATCAGATGATACAGGTACAATAGGCATGCTATGTTCACTTTGGGTACTCATGTTTTTTCTGAAAGTATAATATTCGGAATTAAAAAGTTCAAAATGAAAATTAATTCTAAAGAATATTGATCAGTACATATTATATACTCAATCAAGATAAACATCAAAAAGAATGGCATTTTATCGTTGTCCCTATATCCTTAGAACTGGAGAAGTCTGTAATCGGCCATGTTACCATCCCAATGGGTGCAAAGTTCACCGGGATTCACCTATTCGTTATCCTTGCAAAGAATATGGTTGTGTTAAGTTAACTTATTCCGATTATGGTTATTGTGACCCCCATGCACAGAAACATCATAGAAGAGAGTATAATCATCAGAAGAAGCTGGAGAAGATGGCACAAAATGGGGTTACTGTAGAGCAGGATACTTCGTATCTAAAAAATACATAGTAATATTAACCGCTACAAGTTGTCACCAGTTGGCACCAGTTGACACTAGTTTGTCACTAGAAAAAAATCGGTAGTTGTGATACTTCTTGGAAACTTGGGTTAAAATAAAACTGTTCTCAATAAGTGTCACCAGTGTCACCAGTGTCACTAGTTTCACTCGAGTGTCCTTACTTTTTCTTTTTTTTTTCCTATAGGTATACCGTATATATTGTATATCGAAAGTATGACATATATATATATCAACTAAGGTAGATACAGTATACCATTTATTGGGTATGTATCAAAGATAGGTATACCATATGAAAGAATTTCGTTTTTTTTTCTTTATAAATATACTCTTTTAACTAGAGTAACTAGTGACAGATATAAAAAAGTAATCAAGAGAGAAATAAAACGAACCATAACTTTCAAGAAGGTGTCACCAGTTCCGTCACCAGTTAATTTTTTATCTAGAGGCAACGGGTGCCAACTGGTGACAAAAAACATTGATACATTTTGATAACATATATATAGCACAACCAGATAGCATTTTTTGATAGCATAGCCTGATAGCATTTACGTGATATACTTAGCATGCAAGCGTATCTCTATAGGCATCCATTATTTCCTCATATTTTTTTTCTCGTACCATTGATCAGAGTTTATCATAGCGCCTCCTAATATGAGATAGACATCTACCAGAAGTTGAAAAGGTCAATTTACCACATACTTTACATGATATGCTTCTTGTAGCTTTCCAATGACTACATTCTTCAGGTATTGGACTGCTTTCTCTACAAATTTCACTGGGCTCATGACCGAATAGACAAGTACAATCATCAGACATTTTTTATTATATTAAAATACAAATCTTCAGATAACCAAAATTACTGGAAAAAAGAGCGCGAAAGTATGAATGAAGCCGAGTTCTTGGAATATAAACGAAACTTTGAGGCTAAAATGAAAGTTCCTACTACTCCGCATAAAAAAGAACTGAAAAATAAATCTTTAGCTTTCATTGAATATGCGTAATTATTGTACAATTTAATTAAGTAGTATGTATACCTCTGACAGAAAGTATATTGCTACATTTAACTAACTATTCACCTCAGGTAAGACCATTTTTGTCACCTCTTACAATAAATGCTGGAAAAAATTCAAATCGAAAATTAATTCAGATCATAGGATAGGTAACTATGACCATTTTTGTACCACATGATTTTAGTACTTTATGTCAATTCAGTCATATACAAAAGTTATCAAAAGTGTAATACGCAAAAGTTATCAAAAATGTAATACGCAAAAGTTATCAAAAATGTGATCTAATTTTTTGACACGATATAAAAGTACTCGAAGACAGTAACTATATGAGAAAGAGTTTTAGAATCGAAAAATATTTTTGAATTGGGAAAATTAAAATCCTTACCTCGATATTTAAACGAAACATTTACTAATTTCGTAGTTATTGACAAACCTGAATATGACTTAGTTTTAGGAAGTTCATGGCTAACAGGTCGAGGAATTGACATTGATTTCTATGGATATAAAATATGCAGGAATGAGCTTTGGGAAAAAAAGGGAAAATGTTATTGGAGAGAAGATAGTATAGAAATATTACCTCGTTCATTACATATATTCTATGAAATGTTATTCCCCAAATTAATCGGAATAGATAGAGATGGAGATATAATTTTAACTCGTTTTTCTGATAAAAATATGAAGAATAGCCTGATTGACCTAAGTGAATATTACGATTCAGAATACTCTGAAACGGAGTCTGAATCTAGCGATTCTGAGACTGAGTCTGAATTTAGCGATTCTGGAGTGTATGTCCCTGTTATAATTGGGACGATATAAGATAATAACAGAGCTAGTGTCAAGATACATAATATCGATTTTATTTCCACATTCAGTAATTGTATCAGAGAGATTGGCGGGATTAATCCTAATCATTCATGGTTTACAAATAATTTTATGTAGTAGCAGAGAATGGGTAATTATTTATTAGTTATTTTTTTCGGTTATAATATACATTATTAAATATACTTAACATGTTTGTTGATACTATTGTCGAAGGAAAAATCCCAGTAAAAGCATTAATCGATACATCGTCGAAGTTTAATACCATTAGCAGGTGCTTATTTGATAAGCTTGAAGAATATTATGGAATACGTGATCCTGATGAGAATCTCTATGAAGATGTAATAGGTGAAATAAAATGCTTAGATTTACAATTCCAGTATAAAGGAAAGTGGCAAAGCTTAGATGGTACCGAAGTAATAGACTTTCAAATTCTCCAGAAAACTGTAGCCACCATGCTAAAATTGTAATAGATGGTATGAGTATCCCATTAAATGGTGAATATAGCAGGCCCACAGGCGACTCTTTGAGTCATAAAACCAGTTCCACTAAAAATAACTTATCTAAATCAATGGAATCTAAACCTGGTCTAGCTCAAGAGGAGGCTATAAACATAATCAACAAAATTCTCTCAGGTACCCAAAATATTAAACACCAAAAGAGCCATCGCGGAATATTTCACAATATACCTCCCGCACCTCCAACACCCAGAAGGTTAAATGACGATGTTTCCAAAAATAAGAGCAAGAAAAATAGGGTCAATTATTCCACGGATTCGGATACTTCTTCCAATTCAGATATTTCTGACTCAAGTGATTCTTCTTTGACTAGATTGCGATCAGAGCTTATAAATATGCATAAGACTTCATCTGCAAAGAAACGTCCTATTAAGCGAAGACGTTGTAAAGTAAAAAGAAAAAAATTAGTCAGAAGCACTATGTCACGTTATAATGGGCCTCAGGGAGCGATGTCATGATGAAATAGATTTTATCTCCCACATTCAGTAATTACCCATTTCTTGATTAGTATAACCGACAATACCAAGTTTTTCCTGAATTGTCGCTATATCATCTTCTAAGCATAAAAGCAAATCAAATAATCTAATTGGTTTATCTGAAGAGGCTTTATCCCTTCTAAGTTCCGCTTCTAAAATGGGATTGATATCTATATCAAGTTTCCCCTGTATAGGTATTAAATCCCTCACCAATTCTAACAACAATTCATATGAATCAGCAAGTTTTTTTCGCTTTCTTGCTCTCCGTCACTGCCGTTTGATTTATATTACTGATAATACCAAGTTTTTCTATTATGAACAATGAGGCACCGCCTCTTGAATTGCTATTATATCCTTCCTCCTATATAAAAGCACCCCATATAAATGAGCAAGTGTTTCGCTTTGACCAGATTTATTATTAGTATTACTTATCATATTTATTATAATAAAATAATATATTTAATGCAGAAAATACTGTGTAAATGTACAAATTTAGCAGAGAAAGCACAAGGTGTTAGATTATATATCCGATAATAATTCAGATTAAATCCGATTTGATTTTTTCTTGCCAAAGTGATCGGTGCACGTGATTTTTTCGGTCAAATATATAATATAATATTATAATTTATTATTATGTGTCAAAAAAAAAAAACACTAAGCTTCGCTTATTCGAATAATAGATGTATTAACTTCCTACTTTGATAAAAAAAACAAGAAATGTTGTCAAGATCGCTCATATAAAAATACTTAATTAATATATGTCAAGTACGTAAGTGCCATAAGTCTTTAGACTTGTCCCATCTGGGCCCGATCTGCAATAATATACTGGATCATCCATATAAAATTAGCATATGTAAAAAGTTATCTGAACAAATCATTACGCG